ATGAGAATATATATATTATTGTGCTTTTATCTTTAATTTTACTAGTTATTGTACTATTGACAATTTATTCGATTTTAAAAATCAATTTAAAAATCTTTAACATTGTCATTAATTATGATTATTATATTACTATTTGATATATAATATATTATATTATAGGCATAGCTATTATCAAACTTTAATTTTTTTTAAGAAACATAGTCTTTATTCTTTTTATTCTTTTGGAAAAATCTAAAAAAAAATATTTCTCTAAAATTGAAATGAAAATTAAATTTAAAAAAAAATATGTGCGGTAAAGAAAAAAACACAATAATATATTATATTTCTCATTTTACGAAAAAGTACATTAAGTTTTTCATTTTATAGAATAATTATTTTTAAATTAAAATAAAATTTTTTGACTTGATAGGGGCAATTTAGTGTTTTCCAATTTTCTATCAAGGGGGTTATGTGCCTAATTTCATACCATAAGGGGGTCATGTGCAAAATTTCAAAACCACAAGGGGGTTATGTGCTTAATTTCATACTAAAAGGGAGTCATGTGCAAAATGTCAAAACCACAAGGGGGTTATGTGCCTAAATTCATACCATAAGGGGGTCATGTGCAAAATGTCCAAACCACAAGGGGATTAAGTGTTATTTATCCTTTTTTTTATAATAAAAATGTACAAAAAAATATCAAACAATCCTAATTCGATTTGTATTAGGCTACATAAAATCTCATTCAAGCTCGACTCAAAATATTTGTCAACCATACCTATGTTCCACCAGATGTAGGATCTCATAAACCCTAATCGTATAACTCTAACAAAAATCGATTTTATCATCAATCCAGCATTCCTTAAACCAACATAGCATTTTCATTTTGTTGCCATTTTTCCTCATTTCCTAAAACACCCAATTGAACGATTCTGATTCCCAATATCTTAAAAATAGCTTTTTTACAGCTACTAGAAAAATTGAAATCAGAACAAACAACCCTAATCAAAGAAGAAGAAACACACACACACACAGCACTGAGGGAGATTTGAGTTCCTTCAAACACGGTATACTCCGGTCAGAAATCCACACCCATTCCCATTCAACCCAAGTGTTCATTACGCCCCCCCAAAATCCAACTATATATATACGTACATAGATTACGTATATGCCCTGCCCACGTTGTAATTAAAGCTCCGATCTTGTAAACTCTTGACTAGGGATCGGTGAAATCAATTGTCGAGTATGACCGCCGCCGCCGCCTCCGGCGACCACCGGAGTCCAAAAGATATTTTCTACGACACCTCCGCCGGTGCCGCTGCAGGTACTCTTTTTTTTTTTTAATTGATTCGTTCTCCTATTTATATAGGTTCGATTAATTTGACTGATTATCTTTGTTAATCGAATTTCAGGTGCAATTGCAGCTACTTTCGTATGCCCGTTGGATGTAATAAAGACGAGGCTTCAAGTTCGCGGCTTGCCGGAAATGCAGCCCTCTGGTCGGAGAGGTGTATTTTGCTGATGCTCCCTCTCTTCAATTGTTGTCTTATAGTTGACCTAAGTGTTATTTGATTTGGGTTCAATCTCGAACGCTATCGTTACGAATTTGATTAAATGTTTACGATTAATATATAATCGACATTCTATATATTTCTATTGACAATGATAAACGAATGTAGAAAAAAATTAGAGCTTTGTTCTAGACTAATATACTGAATTAGATGCTTAAAAACCTAAGAACATCTCGTCGGGGTTTCGAGCTACAGTTAGATTAAATTGCATTTGTTTTTATAACTCTGCTAGAGTATGAGTGAAGTAACTTATGTTGGGATTTTTTTTTTTTGTGGCGAAAAATTAGGTAGTGTTATTCTTGTGAGCCTACAAAGTATTGTTCGGAATGAAGGTGTGAAGGGACTTTATCGCGGCCTTACACCCACATTGACAGCATTACTTCCGAATTGGGCAGTGAGTAATTCCTTGAACCACTTCTAATTTCTCTTGTTATTTGCACTTTAACTGAATCAATAATTTTCAATGTTACGGCTGTAAATTGAATATATTTATACGTTTTCTTATGTGTAAGATTCCAGGCAATATAAAAACGTCAAATTTAATTTATATTAAAAGGTTATCAAGTTGGTGTGTTAGACTCCATTTTATTTCTTTCTTTATGGAAATGCTTTTGAAATCTCGTGCTATAGACAAAGGGGGTAAACGTTATCGAGTAAGTTCTTTTTCTCACCCTGGTCCCATTTTCATGTGTCGAGTTCGACTGTATATGGATGTTTCGAAATTATTTATAAACTTGTTCACAGAACTCAGAAGTAATGGTTGAGACTTAGTGATGCCACATTCTTGATTCAAGTTAGGTTTTCCTTTCGAGAAAATTCATTTTGTTTATGAAGCCTTATATCTTAGGAAATCCCACAAAGAAAAAAGGATTTGTTAGTTTGGGATAGAGGGAGTAACTTTTTTTCATGCCATCCGGGCTTTATTTTCTCATTAGTTACGACAATCGAAGTAAAGTTTAACATGTTAAATGCAGAGAGTTTGGCTAACGCTTCACTTGCTTGCTCTCTTAGCACGTAACTTTTTACCAGCCGACCCACAATGCTGTTACTTTTCATATTTTCTGAATTATTTTATGATTTTTTTTATTTTTTTTATTGGCTTAAGCGAAATGGAAGGGTGGACCGTTGTAGTAATATTTGGAATTTAAGTATCAATATCATTTTTACTTTAGTTTTCGGATCTTTTTGATCACCTCGATCTCCATGTATCTGTACATTGACATAATATTCAACGTTTATAGGTGTACTTCACAGTTTACGGGCATCTTAAAGAGGTACTACATTCATACGGTAGGTTTGATATACCTCGGAAATATATTTTCCTTTTCTGTTATTGAGTTTGCTTCTACGTATTATACTTTAATATTATTAAATGGTCTTGCTACAGGTCGTATTAGATGTGGTTCAATATAGCTTGTTATATATCACAATTTTTTTCTCGAACTTCGCTTAGTTTTTCTATTATTCGATGGTACAGAGGGTAGCAAGGACCAACTTTCAATTTCTTCAAACATGATAGCTGCTGCTGGAGCTGGCGCTGCAACAGCCATTGCAACGAATCCATTATGGGTTGTTAAAACAAGACTTCAAGTAGGTCAAAATGTCCTTTTTAACCTCAAAATTTTGGTCAACCGGTCATGCTAATTAGAAATCGACGTTATCAACTTTTTGTTACTTCGTTTGGATGCACTTCTGCAAATTCATGCAATAATTCTTGCTAATGTTTCCGTGCGAATCTTGGGCTGCGTATTTCTGTAACTAGCTACTAAGTCGTATATATAGACGTTGGCGATATTGATATCAAAAGTTGTAAAGCTTAATGGGATTTTCCCCGTTTCTCATATATTCTTTTTGTCCAGGTTTTGCTTGAAACTAACTTGAACTTCATCTCTGTGCATAGACACAAGGAATGAGGCAAGACGTGGTTCCTTATAAGAATATATTTTCTGCTCTGACACGAATTGCCCGCGAAGAAGGATTTCGAGGATGGTACAGGTCAGTCTTTAAAAAAATACGATTGCCGCTTATTTGAGCTCGTTTTGTTGGGCATCAAAATAATTACAATGTGAGTTTGCTCACCTTATGTGTATGATTGCAGTGGCCTTCTGCCTTCCTTGGCTGGAATAACTCACGTTGCCATCCAATTCCCTACGTATGAAAGAATGAAATTCTATTTGGCTAAACGAGGTAAGACCGTAATTTCGTTCTTTTTTTTCTTATTTTTTTTGGGCAAATTACGGCCACCCCCTGAGGTATGGCCAAATTAGGAAAAAACCCTTCTTGTTTGGGTAATTACAACCACCCCCTCCTTTTAAATATTTTTACATAAAATTTATGTAATTCGGTTATTTACCGAACCAAATCGTATATTCAGTTCGGTAAACGGCATGAAATGTTGGCGTACCGAAATTTCGGTTCGGTTTTACCGATTTAACATCCCTAAATTTACCTATGAAGGGGTATTTTCGTAAGATAATACATAGTTGAGGGGTGGCTGTAAATACCCAAACAGGAGGAGGGGTTTCGTAATTTGACCATAACTCAGGGGGTGGCCATAATTTGCCATACTTTTTTCTTAATCAGTATTATCCAGATGACTTGAATTATGTTTTGCTTTCTTCCTTAATATTTATTTTTACCAATATTGAAGAGAATAAAAGTATTGATGAGCTCAACCCCTGGGAAGTTGCAATCGCCTCGTCGTTTTCAAAAGTGGTTGCTTCCATATTGACTTATCCTCACGAGGTATTGACTTTTTGCTAGTCAACTCTTCCAATTAAATTCAAAAAAAATATTTTGAATATATGAACTTGTGCTGATTGACAAACACATCAGGTAATACGTTCGAGGCTGCAAGAACAAGGGCAAGTTCGTAATTGCGAGTTACAGTACGCTGGGGTAGTCGACTGCGTCAAGAAAGTGTTCAGAAAGGAGGGCATTCCCGGGTTTTACCGTGGATGCGCTACCAATCTATTGCGAACAACTCCATCTGCTGTAATAACGTTCACGAGTTACGAGATGATACGCAGATTTTTGCTGCGTGTATCTTCGGAAGAGAAGAAGCATCCGGAAAAATCCGACGGTGAAATCGAGCCCGAGAAGGGAGAGAACACTAAATCTGTAAACCCATCTAATATTGATAGAACTCGTTTTATTCCTTTGGATAATGCCGATAAGATAACTGCTAGGCGATGAGCGCTCGGCGAATTATTTAACAGTCTTAGATTTTTGTTAATAAAAGGGCAACTGGGAATTCCTGTTGTAGGTATGTGGTGTATTTTCTTCTTTTTTAATTTTTTTCCTTTTTTTTAATTTTAATTTTTAAAAATTTGGGCATTGTGCGGTGTATTAGACAACCTTTGCTGTAAGCAGTAATTGCTGTGCAGCAAACATGATTTTGATATGTTTACCTATTACTACACTTCCTTCTGTAGTAATTTGCTTACTGCTTTAGGAATTTCTTTTGTTTTTGAATTTTCTTTTTGTTTTTTGTTTTGGTTTAGCTTTCGTTGACCAAGATTGGCTTGTTTACTTAGTACTTACTAACTACTCCCTTCGTTCGTGAACAATTGTCTCTTTTCACTTTTGCATAAGTTTTATGAAAAGGCTTGATTTTAGTAAATTCACGTGAAAATAACATTTATTATTTAATGATTTATAGGGTAAATTACGGCCTTTCCTAAGGTAATATCAAATTATGGAAAAAAAAACCCTCGTGTTTGGGTAATTAGAATTTAGAATTACCCCTCAACTATGAATCTTCTTACACGTCCACCCTTGCGGTGTTTAATTCAACATAGTCTGCTTGATTCCGTGGAATGTTCACTAGTTTGTACTCATTTTGTGCAAAGATGTGGTTTCTGATGCACCACAATATGATATTTACAAGCCAAGAGACACACCTTGTTTCAAAATGTGGAGCTCGAATGAGGTAAAACGGGTACAAAACTGAAGAATATTCCATATTATCTAGAAGATTCCACTAAATTTAACCCCATTGAACATATAAGAAAGAAGATTCTCAGTTGATAGATGTGATTGTAATTATCCAAATAAGAGCGGTTTTTCGTAATTTCACTTCACCTCAGTGATGACTGTAATTTACCCATGATTTATAAGAGATAGTTGAATTAATATGATTAAAACATAAAAATAAATACTTAATACAATATTGAAAATATAAATTGACAAATAATATGAATAAAATTGTTTTCTAAAATTATTTTTCGAAAGTGACTGTTATTTTGCAACGGAGCGAGTAATAAATGATTACACCTACATTTATTATTGAAAAAAAAAAACAAACTCCTTTAGATACTCACATTCCCTGTTTTTATTATTTTTTTTTTCATATTTTTTTTTCTTTACATATAGCAGTGAACACTTCATCATCATAACAAAAAACATATAACAAGAACAATATAATGAGCGTTTAGAACGTATTATTGATATCTCTATTAATTGAAATTAAAACAAAACGTCGTCACCCGATCGAACTCGTCGTCGTAGTCGAGCTACCACTAACCCATGCATCGGTGACACCTTTCGGCGATGGCTGAAACTTCTTATTCTTCAACAACACAACATCATCCGTCTCCGGAGAAGGAGGGATCACCTTCCCCTGCCCGCCCGTACAATTACCATTTTCGCCCTCCACCTTCTCCAAATTACAATCCCCGCCACCGGCCCGAATATCCTTCAAGAAAGCCAACACCTCATCCATGCAAGGCCTCATGTCCTTATCCAACTGCAAGCACCGAAACGCCAGCTCAGCCACCGACGTGGTCATCCTCGCCACCTCAGCATCCGTACCGTACCCAAGGCTTGAGTCGATCAACTCGTCGAACTCGCACCGTTGGATCCTATTGACCGCCAAGTTGGCCAAATTGATCTCGTGCCTATGTCTACTTATATCGACAGCTGGCATCGAAGAAATGAGCTCGATCAAGACAACACCGAAGCTATACACGTCGCTCCTGTCGGTCAACTGATAGCACTGGTGGTACTCGGGGTCGACATATCCGGGTGTACCTTGCGGAGCGGTCGAAATATGAGTGACGTCATTCGGGAAAAGCCTCGAGAGACCGAAATCCGCGACCTTCACGCAGTAGTTTTCGTCGAGCAGTATGTTGTTCGTTTTCACGTCGCGGTGAATGATGTCGGATTTGTGGAGGTAGGCTAGAGCGGTGGCGGTTTCGATCGCGACGCTCAATCGGACGGGCCACGTGAGCGGGGATTCGTGGGCCCGCTCGCCGTGGAGGTGGTCGGCGATCGTGCCGTTGGAGATGTACTCGTACACGAGGAGGAGTTCGCGGCTTTTACGAGAGGTGCAGCCGTAGAGGGAGACGAGGTTCGGGTGCCTCAGGCATGTGAGAATCTTGATTTCGTTCATGAACTGTTCGACTCTTCGGTAGTTGTGCTCGTATAGGCGCTTTATCGCCACTTCTCTTCCATCCCGAAGTTTGCCTAGTTACAATAAAAAGCAAGATTACTATTACACTTTACGTTAGAAAATTAGAAAAAAAAAACCGATGATTCAATGAGTTTTACACATCGTGGTTCCTATCATTAGTTTCTTGATTTTGTGTCATAGCGAATTACTGAAAAACCACTCGTGTTGCAAATATTAGCAAAAGATCCCCTACGATCCAATTTTTTTAGCACACGACCCCATAAAGGATGCATTTTCAGGCGTAGTTAAAATTGAGTATTTATAACAAGGGGAGTTTTTTTGACAATCAGAGTAAACACAGGGGTGTTAAATGCAATAAACCGTTAGTTTCATACCATAGTAGACGGTACCGAAGCCGCCATCACCGAGTTCTTGAGAAGGGTCAAAGTGATTAGTGGCTTCTTCGAGTTCTTTGTAAGAGAAAATCGGGATGCCGTAGTAGGAGTTGCCACCACCCTCCACATCTGGTTTCGAGGATGGATCATAAGACAGGTTTCTTGAAAGAAGGAAGCTACCGTCTTTGATCCTTTTCTTACGTTGCCACATTATAAACGAGACCACAAATAAGCATAGCAAAATCAAGACACCACCACCTATAGCTGATATCAGTACAATAAATTAGAGTGTCGAATCAAGAACGAAATTATAAAAAAAAGATATAAAGGTTTTGTTTATCTTACATAGAGCTAATATTAGCGTCCGGCTTCTATCTGCAATCACAATTTAGCAGCGCAGGATTAGTAGGTATACATATGAGTTGATCAAACAAACTTGTTAACACTTCAATTCAATAAAAAAAAAAAAAAAGTTATTATAGGACACACAAAACCCGCACGAACAAATTCATTCGTAAATACCTTTCTTGCATTCGAATAGACCCATGCTATTACTAAGACACTGCCCACCTCCTTGGTGGCATTCACTACAATTTTCAGAAACATTCCACTCTAGAATATACTCATTCGTTAACATATCGAACACGTTTCCCGGCGAATATTGATCGTAATTCGACTTTACGGGTAGTTGAATCACTTGACAATCCGAAGGCACAGGGGAAACTTCTGCCGTCGGAAAACCATAGTAAACAGTGAACAAGGAACAATTATAACTACGATGGTTTTCGGGGAAAATTTCTCCGTCGTGGATGTAGTTTGGGTTGACGCACGCGAACACGGTGCGATTGGGTGACACGGAAAACGAGATGGAAGGAGATTTAGGTAGGCTCACATTTCTGAATGCAAAACAACTATTGCTATTCAACTGCCACTGGAGCGAATGATCCTTAATTAAGAAACTATTTGTCGACATGTTGCGCGAAATATTGTACACTAGACCGCCGGGTTCCAGCTGGACCGTTGGATTATCGGAATCACAGTCATCAACGGTGAATAATCCGCATCCTGTAGAATTCGAGATTGGGAATTCGAGATGGCCTAGGCGCCCGCATTCGAAGGATTCTGAGCAGTGTGAATCAGCTGAATCGAGTAGAGAGAGAAGTAACAGAAGGAAGAAGAATAACAGGATTTCGACAATCGCCGCCATGTAAGAACAACAAAAAAAAATCAAGAACTAGGGTTTCTACTTTATCTGGTTCTTGTGTAATAACAATCTCTTTAGCACCTTCATTGCAGAAAGTCTTATTCTTTCTATAGAACACGCTGTTGACTTGGAAAATATTTGTTTACGAGGACTTGTGAAAATTTGAACTACCAAATATTAATTAATATATTATTATCACAAAAGATATTCTTCTATTTTATTTTATTTAATTAATTTTATTTGGTTTGAAATGGTCAGCGTGGGATAATAGAGTAAAGAACCATGAAGTTTCCTACTCCGCATCTTTGTAGTTGACTGTACATAGACCTGACTTTTTTTTGTTTTTTGTTTTTTGTTTTTTGTTTTTTGTTTAAATGTAGGAATTCCGCAACTAGTGCACTAGATAAATTTAATAGACTCCCATGTAATAGTTTACAAATCATACGAGAGATGTAAATCACACTAGGTTAATCATGTGTGACAAACTCGATCTACTGATTGTTGGCAAAATATATTTGAACCTGGATCAATTAACATAGGCTCACTTGCTCCAATCACTAACACTTACCTAGACCTGACTTTTTCACATTTCCAATTAATTGCCTTATTTTTCTTTAAATCCCAACCATTCACAACCAACTTTAAGAAAGAAAATAACAATAAACAATGATTCTTTATATTTGCTTTAGGATTTTTATTTAGTGTTTTTAATAGTGAGAACATAAGAAAAGATTAAAGCTTTCCTGTTCTTGTGACAGCAATTTTCGGTTAATGATTATATTTTAGGATAAATTATGACCACTTATAAGGTAATGTTAAATTACAAAAAAACTCGCTTATGTCAGAATAATTACAATCACCACATTCAACTAGTTGAATCTTTTATATGTCTCATTGCGGTATTAAATTTAGTGGAATCTTCTAGATTATGTGGAATATTCTTCATTTTATACCCGTTTTACCCCATTCGAGCACAATATTTTGAAACAAGATGGTTATTAGATGTGTCTCTTGGCTTTTAAACATTAGGATTTGGTGCATCCGAAAATGGATTTTTGTATAAAACGAGCACATACTAGAGAACATTCCACGCAATCTAGAAGATTATGTTGAATTAGATAAGGGTGGACGTGTGAGAAGATTCATAATTAAGGGGATAGTTGTAATTACTCAAACATGAGGGGAATTTTCATAATTTAACCTTAACTCGGGAGTTCGCTGTAATTTACCCTTCATTTTTTATAGTGAGAACATAAGAAAGATTCAAGATTTCTTGTTCTTTATGACAGCAATTTTCATTTAATGATTATAATTATTTTCCATAGTATTCAACTTTCTTGTTTTTTTTTTTTTTTTTTTTTTAATTTTTTTTATTTTATGCCAAAAAAAATAAAAGAAAACGACTCACTTATTTGGCTATTTCTTCAATTATTATGCAGGCCCCATACTATTGTCTGTTCTTATTGGACGATTAAAATTATAAAGTTGGCTTTTCTCTAAGTCGACAGCAACTTCAGTTGAAAATTCTATTTAGCTGTGGTCCACTCTTTTCCACACCAAAGAAAAGTGACAACTATGGTGCTAAACTAAAATACTACTTTACAAAATAACCCCCAAATTATGTCTAAATTACAAAAAATAGATCTTATTGTTCACAGAGTATTTACCCCTTTAGGAGTAGAAATTGGAACCAAATTTCGGATTTCCGCAGATTCCAATAAGAAATTTTTCAAATTTGGAACAACATTTTTCATCCCGAAAAATTCAATGCCAATTTTTTCGGAAATTTTTTGGATATAGGAAATGGAAGATACATGAAATTCCGATTTCCGATCCAATTTTATTTTTTCCGAAAATTCTGATTTTTTTTTCCCGAAGAATTTTTTTCCCCCGAAGATTACAAGATCAAATACTATTATACATTTTATATTTTAGGTGACTAAAAAATTGAAAATTTCAAATTCGGCGTATTTGATTTTTTAACGGAAGTTTTCTTTCCAATTGCATAAATCCGATTTCCAATTTTTTTTGGAACGAAATTGGAATTGGTTTTTCACTTCCAGTAAAAAATGGAATATTTGCGAAAGTGCTAATTCTGATCCTATCGGTCCGATTTCCACCTCTAACCGACCTCAATTAATTTCTCACGAAAAATCCTAATGAAAGCTATCAAATATATAAAATGCCAATGACAAAAAAAAAATAGCATTAGTTAGGAGATTTCATGATTTACCATCGTAGCAATCTTCTCTACGAGGCCGATCACGGCAGAAACACGCGGCCCCGTTTTTCTCATCAAATCCACAACGGCCACCGCTCCGTTCGCACTTACCGCAACTAATTCCTTCCCATTTCAGCATAAATCCATTTTCCAATAACTCCATATAATCCATCGACATATTTCGGCTCGCTCCATTTAATTCAACCGGAGCAGCCACACAATCATTGCATGCCATTTCATTACACTTGATTCTCCTCTCGGGATCCAACACGGCATACGACCGAAGTGAATGGTTCGAATCACACGCTACACGATATTTCCCGTACTTGATTTTTAAAAAAGACTCGTCGCAAGAATACAAGAGTTTGAGATCAACAGAGTATTGATCGAGGAAAAACGGGGCCCGGTCTAGAGAGAAATATTTAAGACGGGGCATGCATTTCGAATCCAACACCTTGGAATTAACTAGCCGGAAGGATTTGTTCTCGTACGAGATGTTCTTGATTATGTACTCCCCGTGAGATGTTTTGTATACGAGAGTCTTGTTTTCTTTGCACGTGATATGAAAACCAGGGTAGCCGCAGAATTTAGTGTTTTTGTTTACGAGGTGAAAAGGGTACCGTATGGTTATGGGAGGATCGGTTCCGCATGTTGTGGGCCCACATGCTTCGTATTTCTCGTGGTTTTTTGAAGATTGAACGAAGAGGAACATTTGAAATAATAACATGGTAATGATTTCGAAACATAAGGACTTTTCTTTATGAGAATTTGGAGAAGCTGTTTTGATTAGAGAGAACATGGTTGAGAAAATGGGATTAAAAAGTTGAGGGAAATGTTAGATGAATTCGAGTACGTATAAATATTTCGTAATCTGAGTTCTTCGTCAATGTTTATTATTATTGTTGTTTGTCATGTTCTTGGTATAATATATGTCTAAATGTCTTATATATGTATATCTTCACTTGAGTTTTCCAAAGCTGCGGTCTGTTAGTGAAGAACGATTGCTTTGCAATGCGTATAAATTGGGTCGAATTAATATATATATATATATATATATATATATATATATATATATATATATATATATATACTGCGTTTCGTTTTCCGGGGATGTGGAATTAAGACAGCATATATAAGAGCCATTTTTGGGCTTGGAGACGAACAACTCGGACAAAAAATAACTACGAATTCTTGAGGGAGCTGCTTAGGTAATCGAATTTTGAAAGAAATGTTATGTTTGCAGCAGAAATTTTTGAGTTATATTTGTTGGATCTGAAATCCAATTTATATCCTTTCATCAGATCCTTAATTAACTTGCCCCAAAAGACGAAATCTCTCGTCTCCGGGATCCACATACCTTGGTGCGACAAATTTTGATGGAGGAATATAAATTAATTTTGGTAACTCAACGGTCTGTTAGGATAGCCCACAAGAAACCAACTACCATTGAAATCGAAATTCACACACTACAGTTATCAGTACTCGATTCGATTCTAGAACCTTAAACCAACTTACCACCCGCGGCCAAATCCTTAATTAACTCTTCAGCTGAATACAGAGAGTCACACTCTTGACTAATAATGTAATCAGAATCAGAGCATATATACTATCTCAACAACTATAGTGAGACACAACTTTATATATTAACGGCAGTTTGGATTTAGTGGTTTGGTCTTGCTGGCATATGATTAATCTATTATAATGCTCAACCCAAACCTTGTTATTTTCTTACATAAATATTATATTTATTATTATTATCAAGGGAGGCCACGTTTTCGAACGGGCCTCCCCTAGTTAAAGCCCGTCTCCATACTCGTCGTCTACCTAAAATGTACCATTGCAATCAAGAATGAAAAGCACCACACATAACCTGACCTAATCTAGTCGCTCAATAATCAACTAAGAGGGTGTTTGGCTGATTAAACATTTGATAAATTGTTTTAATAGCTGATAAACTGTTACGTCTTATTTTTTACAATTAATTTTCAAATTTTAAGATCTTTTCTTTTTCTTTCAAATCATTCAATACTTTTGGAAAAGCTTTGAAACCTTATAAGCTCAGGGAAACACACTCTAATTTGCACCGGAAAACTTAGCATAGTCAACGAATTAAAGACCATATATATCAAAAATAAAAGAAAATATTAAATCTTACGAGGTTTGCAGCTTCTAGAGTGAGGCCTGTCGGGACAAAAGCACCGAAAATGGAAAGTGGACGAATTAAAACCGCAACGGCCGCCGCTATCTTCGCACGTAGTGCAGTCACTGGCGATCCAGTTCATCAAAAACCCCTTCCTCAAAATCTCCGTAATATTCACCATTTTTCCATTATTATTAATATTATTTCCAATGATCCCAAATGATTCCACAGGTGCAATAACGTTTTCTCCGCACTCTTCCATAGCAATACTCATCTGATTCTTCTCATCTGTATCGTTATTATTCAGAGCGAGCTCCCATATTTTCTCGTCCTCAGAACCTTCACAGCCGACAACGAACCTCGACAGTTCGCCACGCAGCGGTTCTCTGCAGTTAGAGAACAAACGGAGCGATGACGTGGAGCTGACGTAGCCGAACTGGGAAGGAGGAAGAGTCGTGTTTCTGATTCTCGGAAGACAACTACTACCACCAGATCTCGAAACAGCTGCATTATACACATGTAGAGATCGGTTTCCGTAGAAGATGTCTTCCACCACGTACTCATTTTCCGACAACTCAAGAACAGGAAATCCACTTTCCGAACAGTTGAGCTCAAATCCCGGGTACCCGCAGTAGGGTTCCTGTCGGCCCGGTATATAAAACGGGAAGCTTATATTCGGGCCGCCGGAGCTGCAATTTGTCGGCAAGCATGCTTCGTATTGAAAATGAGCGGCGCGGGATCTTTTGGATAAGAGGATAACGCAGAATAAACAGAGGTATAGAGATATCAAGAAAGTGTCGGTATTAACTGATTTTTTCATTTAATTTCATGTAAATGTTTGAACTAGAGTTCAAATGGTGGAGATGAAGTAATAAATAAAGAAGTTAGAATTCGGACAAGGGGGCAAAGGTTGGATGTCTGTATTTGCCTAAAATATTTGACCCACTTGTGAAATTATTGCAGTGTGTGCAAAATTGGGGCTATTTTAAATTTAATACTATAGTTGCATGAATTGACTAATCTCATCTATAGCACTCTGACTTTTTTATTTAGTCCAGGTGAATTGCATTTTGCACCCCACAATTAACAGTGCTTGGCGTTTTGCACCCTATCATCATTTTGAAAATTGGCAAAGTCCACCCTGTTATTCAATTTCTTGTGATATTTTAGCCACATCTCAATAATATATCGTGATATTTTACACATTTGAAGATTTTTTTCATTCTTCTTTGTGTTTTTTTTTCCTACTTAATATTTATTTTAATTATATTACTTGTGTATTTTTTTTGAAAAAACAGAACGGATGATTTATTTCATATGTTTCGCATTGAATTAAAAATAATGTACATAAAATTTCTAATTCGATTTTAATTTTCAAAATAATTCAAAAAATCATAATTTTCTGTAAAATTAACATGAGAATTGCCGGATGTTATTAGTTGTTTTTAGATGTGTAGTTAAATAGATTAATTAAAATTAGGCTTTGCATATATTATTTAAAAAAAAAAGACTAAAGACTATAAGATACCATCAAGCATGAAAATCCCTTCAAAAGTTAATATATCGTGATACATTGATTTTTGGGTTAAGATCTCATAAGGAATTGATGTGGGGTGCATTGTGCCATGAAAAATATAATTTGAGAATAAACTTTGCTAATTTTGAAATATTGAGGTGCAAAGTGCTAATTAAGGTTAATTATGGGGTGCAAAATGCAATTCACCCAATATAGTCCACGTATTCAAAAGCATCGCTTCCTTAATTATGAGGAAAAGTCTTCCCTTAGTTTGTTTATAGATAATTTGGATGGTCAACATGTGTTCCAATTTTATTAATACATTTGTGACTCTAAATGTAATTTTGATTTTTTCTAGTTTAATTTTGACAAAATTTATAATACGAAAACTGTAGTCCTTCGAGTTAGATTTATAATCCAATTTGAATTAGCTCTAGATTGGATATCGGGTAACAATGTTAAGCATAAATGAGATCTATTTTGAATTTTAAATAACTCAAAATATTAAAACTATGGGCACTATTCATGATTCGTGCATATTTTTCTCGGGGGCAGACCCAACGTCATTACAATGGGGAGAGGGAGGTTTGGGAAAATGAACTATGAATTTATGGGGCACAGTGACAGCGCCCTCGATTTCTTTTTTCTTTTTTATTTTATTTACAGGGTACAACGACAGCCCCACAAAGTAAAGCTTGGGTCAACCCCGAAGATTTCAAATCCAACATTCAAATTTGATGATTTAAATTGGATTTAAAAACTAACTCAAATAACTAGAGAGAAGTCGAGTAAATTTAATTTTACAATACTCCATTAATATACACTTTTTTCTATTTTATTATCCTTTCACCATGTTAGTGGGCTCTATTATTCATGTTTGAATGATGGTAGTGGAGTTAGAAAATGGATTTCTAGTGTACCATTAGTTTAGTGCTTTGGAGTTTGGATGTAATAGTAGGGTTGTTCATGGGTCGGTTTTACCCGACAACCGACCCATTATCGGCCCGACTATTGTGGCCGCTAATTGCCCACCAACCGACTCATTTTGGTCGGGCCGATAATTTTAACCGACCCATATTTAGTTGGGTCAGGTATAGTTTTTAATTTACTGAAAAGTCGGATGGCCGATATTACCGACCAACCGACTTTTTTATTTTTATATATAATATATTTCTTTTAACCTTTTGAGTTTTGACTTTGAGTTCACTAAATTATTGGAAAATATTAAAATAATAATTTTAAATTATCCATCTCCTCTCCAGCTCTCTACCTCCACAAGCAGAAACCAAAACTCCACCACATAAACACCACCGCCAGCATTTCTCTTGCAAACCACAACCAGTCATTGCCGCCAGCGCCGGTGGGCTGCTACTTCCTCCAACTCTCCACCTCTGGCCCTCTCTATCTATCTTCTACATTCCACACTCTAAAGCACGCAAAAACTCAAGGCTAGGGTTTTTTTTTCGTTTTTTTCTCAAATTAAAATTGGGCAATTCCTCATTTGATGATTTAATTTGATTTTTATTTTTTTTTAAATAGGAATGATTATTGCTTAGATTTTATGTTTCTCCATACTAATTGTGTGAAAGTAAAATGAAATTGAATATTCATTAACTTGTGTGTTTCCTGATGTGTGTGTAAGAGAGAGAGATAGACAAGTGTAAAAAAAATTAATCTCAATGTACTGACTTTTCATTTTTTTAACTCTGTGATGTGCGTGTGTAAATTAATTTCCAGATTTCTAATAATTATAATATTTTAAATTGTACAATGACGAAGCACACCGGCACATCGGCCTCTAAATCTAAGCAGCAAATCTGTTTTTTTCTTTTTTCTTTTACTGTGGCCGATATCGGCCGATAATTTGCAACCGAACTATTTCGGCAACCGACAAAGTCGGTTGCCAACCGTTACCCGACTCACAATTGTCGGGCCGGTAATGGTTTTACATTTTGACAATAGTCGGTTGGTCGGGTCGGGCCGATAATCGGCCGATATTCAACCGACCCGACCCATGAACAACCCTATGTAATAGTAATACTCTTTAATCGTGGAACGAAATAATTACCATCTAACATGAAGACAAAAAAATCATTCATTATTTCATATCTCGTATGATTTGTAAACTATTTTATAAAAGTGTAAGTTTATCCAGTGCACCTATATGATTGACGGCTGATTCCTTAATTACAAAAAGTAATAAATAAATGAAAAATAATCCATTTAAATTTAATTTATTGCAGTGAATAGTGATTGCTTGATTGTTTTGAAAGATTACTAAATGCTCATATGAGTTTATGGTTTTATATATTGGATTGCCAAAATTAATTTACACAAAACATTAAAGAGTTTTTTTTTTCATTTCTTTAGAGCATCTTTTGAAATTTCCCTAATTCAATTACAAAATTATATTTATCTTGAGCATTATTCATCAAATACAGATACATTTTTTTAATTCCAAAGAATCAAAATATTTTTAAATATACACTTTTTTATTAATATCCACCTAACAATTCAAGATAACGCACGATCAAGGCGGATATATCGTAGGACCTAGACATTCAGAAATTATATTAAAAATTATATTAGTATCTCAAATTCATAAAAGTATTGATTAATACAATATAATGTCACGATTCAAAAGTAAAATTAGGACAATGCCACAATATATTGTAAGAGAAGTTTTTCAGCCTAGTATGCAAAGCTTTGAGTACTGGTCCATCAATTTAGTGCAACTTGTCCATTTGATGAGATACAAAATGAGATATGTAAAAAAAGAAAGGAAAAAATCTAAAAAAATTAAATTTATAAAATTTTTAATTTATATTTAGTAGAAAGAAAGATAGAATATGAGATATGTGTTTGTATTTCTTTGAATTTAGAATGACATATTGGCTTTGACCATTGACGCCTCAATTACTTAACAAATTTGATTAATTATCAATTATATAATCCTTCACATTGATGTATTAATAATTTATTTTTTACTTCATATATGACAAATGAGTTTTCAAACCTAGGTAACGTTTTTATCCACAAGACTTATAAAATTCATGGTTGGAGTATAAAATTTTGTGAAAGTATATTACAATTAAACCTCTATAAATAATACATAAATAATACAGTCGGCACTAATAAAATTTTATTCATTTTAGCGTAATAATTTTAATATACTTTTACTGAATCGGGACTGGTAAAAAAATTATTATTTAAAACAAAATTATTAAGTTATAACCCAAGTCTACGAAGGCTATGCACTAATGGTCCATATGACGGTGTTGAATTTAACGTGTTTGATTATATTCATTATTATTATTTTTCTCTTGTGAATTTTTCTTCATTTGACTTGTGAAATTTTATTACAACCTATGACTAATAATTCCTTGGTCAAACTTCAACGTAATCGATTCCCCCAATAGAGTTTGGAAATTATGAATAAATGTAAAGTGAACATTGAACAACATAATTAGTAATAAGAATTGAAGTTTGCAATTACAGATAGAAGATTTCAATTTTATTTATTTATTTATAGAGATTTCAAATAATTCTAAAGGGGCCTTTTGTGCTCCAAATATTTATCATGGGCATTTTATGTTTTAACATTTACAATTTTTTCTTGATGGGCCTATCGGTAATAGAATATTTATATGAACTTGTGGTTGTGTATCATTTGCAATTTTTTATTTTTTATTTTTCGAATTGTTGGGAAAAATAATAGTTGCACTTAAACATCTATAAATTAATACAGCTAAGACCATCAAAATTCTATTAATGTAACGTGATATTTTTTAACTCATTGTCCTTGAGTTGGGATCGAAAAAATATGTATTTAAACGAGGTTACTGATTTATGAGTATTAGTATATCGATGTTCTACTGAACACGAGTCAACATAACAAAAATTAAATGAAGAATGCAATTTATTCATATTACAAATACTGAAGTTATTACAATTTTATTAAGGAAAAGATTAATCAAGAGGAAAGCAATCGAACAGCTCACGAAATTGCTAGGTTGTTTTCAATGGAGTCCTTTATTTCGCACATTTTGCCTAGCTTTATTCAAGATATTGTAAGCTTTGAGTTATTACATGAATGAAATCTGCTAATTTTTTTCTCAATAAATAAATAAATATCAAGAGAAACTTCACATGTATTTAAAGATTTATTAGTACCTAAATCTGTTGAGATACACCACGTGTAACTTTATATCCAGTTGTTTTGTAATCACCCACTTTTACCGACAGTTAGACACCTAAATGTATATGCGTGTAATTGTGTGTAGACCTATGATATGAAATAACATGGTGTGTTTCACTAAGTATACGATAATATACAAAGCCTCATTATAAGAGCATTCTTAATGGAGTCTTCAACCTCCAAGAGAGGATTCATAATTTAGAAATTTCAACAAGAAATGCAAGACCAATGGAAGTTTAAAAGGGTCTACGATTTTAGAGATTTTCCCAGAATTTTCATTAATTTTCATTAATTTTGATTCGAGTCTGGAGATTCATCTTTTTTTATCGAATTTTTTAATATGATTTTCTTTTTCTCCTACAAAATTTGAAAATTCATTTTAATTACAGGATGTTTGGCTAAGCTTACAAGCTGTTAAAACAAGCTTATAAGATATTTAAGAACTTATAAGCTCTTCAAAAGTGTTTGATAATTATTTGAAAAAT